TTCCATTTAACTTTGTTTTTATGTAAGTAAAGTGCCTTCTCCTCCTTGCTTTTTAAACAGTTTAAAGTGATGTACATAGAATATGACCTCCCCCCCCCCCTTTTTATTTATTTATCCTGCTTCAAGGCCTGTGATTCTTGAATATGAGGATATGAGTCTTTCTTGTGTTCTGGAAATGTCTCAGCTTTTATCTCTTTAAAGAGTGCCTTTTGCCCTGGACGGTTTGGCTCAGCAGTTGGAGTGTTGGCCCGAGGACCAATGAGTCAAAGGTTCAGTTCCGGTCAAGGGCACATAACCTCAGTTGCGGTTCGGTCTCGGCACTGGTTAGGGTCATGCCAGGAGGCAACCAGTTGATGTATGTCTCTCATGTCCATGTTTCTCTCTTTCTCTCCCCCCCCCCCCATTCTATCTGCAAATAAATGGAAAAATGTCCCCAGGTGAGAATTTAAACAAACAAAAAAAAGAGTGCCTTTCATTATCTCTTTTCCTCTGGAACTGCTCTTATGCTGTGTTACATCTTATTATTCTATTTTTTATTTAATGTCTTTTCACGGTTTTTCATTTCATTAACTCTTTCTGCACGATTTTATTTTTCTATTCACAAATTCTCTAGTCATTTTTTTCTTTAAAATTTTTTATTTTGTTTTCTTACAAATGTTTGTCTTGCTTTTTCTTTTTTCTTTTTTATATCCTCATCTGAGGACATTTTTCCATTTTCTGTTCAGACAGAGTGGGAAGGAGAGAGAGGAAGAGAGAGAGAAACATCGACGTGAAAGGGACACATCGAGTGGCCGCCACCCACACAACCCAACCAGGGCCGGGGACAGACCGCAACCGAGATACATGCCCTCAGCGGGAACCGAACCCGGGCCTCTCTGGACCGCAGGCCGATGCTCCAACCGCTGAGCCAAACCGGCCAGGGCTTGTCTTGCTTTTTCATAACACCTTGTTTTGTTTTCAGTTTCTTATTTTAAAGCTGCTGATTTTAATCTTTCCTATTGGGTAGCCTTGTAACTGATTGTTTTTCATCTAAAGTTCTCAAGCAATAGAAGTAATAAAGTTCCAGTAATAGTTGTATTTCCTGCTTTTACTTCTAGTGGTTGTTTATAGAATTGGTAAATTTTCATTCTGATCTTGCCAGTGGGGCTTAGTTATGGGAATCTCACATTACCTGGGTTAAGAGAATGTTCCTCTTCCAAGTTTTTGTTCCCTTCACCTGCCTTGGGTTTTGGGAGTCCCACTGGCTTGTGAACATGTTTAATGTGAATTTCTAGTCTTGAGGGTCTTGGACCATGCTGGTGTAGTGTAAATTCAAGTTCTTTGTGCCGGAGCATGTCTAGGATTACATGTTTTCATTTTGTAGACAAATGTATGGGTGCCCTCCTTCAGCCTCAGTGTTAAGCCCAAGCCAAGACAGATAATTTCTCTTATCTTCCTGTACCAGTGTACATTTTAAAAAATAGACTATCCTATCGCTCGTGGGGTTAGACTGTCAGTCCCTCTGACTTGATTCTAGTAAAGGTGGGGGTGGGGTGGGAAGGGAGAGTGTATGGATCTCAATCCCATTCTCTTCTCTTGGTTGTCTTTTCTGTCCTGCTGGTATCGAACAAAAGCCGAGCCCCCATTTATGAATTTCTTTTGTAGTACAAAGACTTTTAAATTGTTTTGCCAGTCTTGTTGCTGGAAATAGAAATCCTCATTATATTTAAATGGGTATATATTGTGTGTGTTGGTGATTTGATTGCCGTTTTCCCTGTCCTTCATTCACTCGTTCTGTCAACAGAAACTTAATAGATAGGTAATTTGAGGTGAAGTATTGTGTTTATGTACCTGAGTGGAAAATAGTGGTTTTTCTCTTGTGTCTTCTTATAGATACGGGTCTTTAACGTCAAGGAACTCAAAGTTCATTAAGGAGAGGTACATAAATAAATCAGTGCAGAAATATAGCAATGGGATTTGACAAGAGCAGCAAAAACACAAACAGTGGCAGGAGACAAAGGACCTGGGGAGTCCCTGAGCAGGGCTGTGCCACGGAGTACGTCAGGCCCCTTCTCTGTCCTTTGTAATAGCTTGAACTTTGTAAGAGTGGCAAATAGGAAAGGTGATCTCGCAGTACCGTACCAGAAATGGTTTTAAGAGGCAACCACATTTTAAAATTAAACTTATGTCAAAATAGCTCAATATCAATTAGGTTGAAAACAAAAAGCTTTCTTTGTTACTCATCAGCATTTTGATGGCTCTTAATTATTGGAAGCAAAGTACTAGGGAATTTGGGACTAATCTCCGATTTTCTTAGATCAGTAGTATTGAGGAGGCCGGAGAGTGTAGCTGTCACAGGTGCTGAAGTGAGCCTGCCTTTATGCTGTGACCTCTGGGCTTCCATGAGTGCATATAACATGTGTCTTTAATGCTTATTTAAAAATAAATTTTAAAGGAAAGCAAGCTCTGTAAAAAACTTTTATATACATACTGAATTGCAATTACGGTGTTTTAATCTTACCCTCTTTTTCTTCACAAAACTTACAAGAATTGACAAGAAGCTTTAGTTTCTGTTGGACCTGTCACTCCTGTTTCCGTGTTTCCTTATACTTGTGTACCTGAACTCATTATTATTTTTAACCCTCACCTGATGATATGTTTAGAAAGGGGGGGTCATTGATGTGAGAGAGAAACATCGATCGGTTGCCTCCAATACACACCCTGACCAGGGATCAAACTCCCAACCTGGGAATCAATCCCGAAACCTTTTGGTGTATGGGATGACACTCCAACCAACTGAGCCACCTGGCCAGGGCTGAACACTAAACATTTTTAATGTGATGATGGACAAAGGCATTCAAGTTGTTTCTGGTTCTCACTATTGTAAATAGTGTTTAATTGAATAGCTTTCTTCTTTCAGGTTTTCTTCAGTTTTGAAAAGATGAATTTTCAGGACTAAAATTTTTAATCCTAAGTGTATGAGCATATCAATTCTGGACTGTCTTACTGTTTCCAAAGAAATTGCACCAATTAATTGCATTTCACTACCATTTTCCTTATTGTTGCTTTACTCTTCTAGAGTATGTGAAACTGTTGTCGTTAGCATAATATTTCTAATTATGATAGCATAAATTATTTTATAAAAGAATATGTAACCAGTATTCTGAAATGGTATCAGATTAATTAGTGGGAATTTGTCACTTTAAACTTTAATACCCCCTTGTTCATTTATTTATAAAGCTAGGTTTCTCCGTGGGAATACATTGGTAAGGTGGGGAGTTACGAGGCTGAATGTGCTTACAATTTAATAATCTAGTTCTGTGACCTCAAACAAGAAACTGTCTATACTTTCAGATGTCCTGTTTGGGAATTATGTTGCGTAGAAGGGAGCAGTATGCCTGTTTTGGGATTTAAACCCAAAAGACAGTCAGATTAACTGTCCTTAGAAGTTTTAGAAGAGAATAGGCAGGAAATAATTAATTTAATTAAGAAAAGAGCTATTGTGGTGTTGGTAGTCATGAATGATTGTGCCATTCATGGCGCTAAGAAAAGTAGTATTAAAGTATATATTTTTATTGTTTAGTTTGAACTTTTCTGTGTGCAGAGCACAGAAAGGTCTTGAAGCATATATTAAAAAAATAAACTTTTTTTTTAGGATTTACAGTGTTTTTATGGTATCTTATGAGGCTTTGTTGTCCTTATACAGTATTAAATGTGGTTGACATGTAGTACATTTGCAAATAGTTATGAATAGGATTTTCTTTTTAATGTGACCTAAATTTTTGTGGAATAATTTGAATGACATTTTAATTAAAAGCAGGTCGAGGAAACTTGAATCTTTACTGTTATAGTTCACAAATATATTAATGTTAATTCCTGGTCTGTACTACCTCTTTTTCAGTAAATAGTAGTAATAAAATTTATATATTTGATATATAAAGTAGATTAAGGGTATATTATTTCCTTTAACATAATTAAAATCTCTTTCTTAACACTAGGGGGCACCATTGATGCATGAATTTGTATCCAAATCTTTATGCATAGAATGTGGAATGAAATGAAATTATTTGCAACCATTTCATTGCAAACTGTGTGTTGCATTCAGAGGGTATTTGGGTTTTCAAGCTTATTTTGTATAGCAGTGTAAATACAAATTGATCTTAATAATTTTGTAAGGATCGTGGAGCTTATAAAATGAAGTATGTGGATTGGAGAAAGTTAAAGTATTTCTATGCTCTATTCATTTTTATATTGATTTTCTAAATAAATTTTAAATGGTTTTAAAAATCATTATTTCTAATATATTTTTCATTTTTTAAAAATCTGGCACTTGGTGGAATATAATGAACAAAATAAGCAGATGAACAGAATAGACCCAGAGACATGGAAGTAGTAGGGTTCAGACTGACAAAGCTCAGGGTAGGTAGGCAGGGGGGAGGGAAGAGAGAAACCAAAGAACTCATATGCATATATGCATAAGCAACGGACATAGACATTGCTGGGGAGGGGGGAGGGCGATCGGGAGGAGGGTGTCATGGGGGAATAAGGAGAAACATCTGTAACAAAAATAAATTAATTTTAAAAATTGAAAAAAAAATTCTGGCACAGTGTTTTTCTCTTAGCTGGTACTGAGGACATATCTAAAGAAAGGAAGATAAATTTAAGATGTGACTGTGAAGGCTGCTGTCATTAGTAATCATTGTTAAACATTTGAAAAGCACACATTTTACTCCATCTGAGAAACAAATCTGAGGCTTTCTCATTCAAGTGTTTGCAGTTAGGATTTGAGTGATGCACACCAACAGGTATGCATTGGAGGTGTATATCTAAGGTTTTTGTCTTCTTTAATTAGAAGACTCCATTGATTTTAAGCTTTGTGTGGATTAAGTAGATAGCATGCAGCATCATAATAGCGCACTTACAGTGTGTCAGCACTGTTTGAGGTGCCTTGCATATATTAATTCTTTTCTCCTCAGCACAACTCTGTGAACTAAGTACTCATTGTCACCTCTGTTTCCCAGATAAGAAGGTGAGCACGAAATCCAACAGTGTGCTGGTTCAGACAGGCAGTCTGCCTCTGAATCCCGAGAGAGGAACTTAGCATCGAGGGAATTATTACTGATATTTCAAACTCAGTTTTTAAAGTGAGTATAGTTTAAAATACCTAATGTATAGATACTTAGCATTTCTCTTATGGAAACTATTGTAGAACTGAATGGGAGAATATATTTGTCAATGGTACATCTGATAAGGGATTAATATCCAAAATTTATACAGAAAGCATGCAACTCAACACTGAAAAAACAATCCAATTAAAAAATGGGGCCCTGGCCAGTTTGGCTCAGTGGTTAGGGTGTTGGACTGTGGTCCAGAGAGACCTGGGTTTGGTTCCCGCTGGGGACACGTACCTCCATTGCAGTTTGTCCCTGGCCCTGGTTGGGTCATGCGGGTGGCAGCCACTCGATGTGTCCCTTTCACATTGATGTTTCTCTCTCTCTCTTCCTCTCTCTCCCTCCCACTCTATCTGAACAAAAACCAGAGAATGTCCTCAGGTGAGGATTAAAAAAAAAAATGGGCAGGGGACCTTAATCCACGGAGGGAATACAGATGGCCAATAGACATGGGAAAAGATGATCAATGTCACTAATCATCAGAGAAATGTAGATTAAAACCACAATGAGATACCACCTAATACCTGTCAGAATGGCTGTCATCAGTAAATCAACAAACAACAAGTGCTGGGGAGGATGTGGAGAAAAGGGAACTCTTGTGCGCTGTTGGTGGGAATGCAGATTGGTGCAGCCACTTGGAAAACAGTATGGAGATTACTCAAAAAATTAAAAATGGAACTGCCTTATGACCCAGTGATTCCACTTCTGGGTACATAGCCAAAGAAACTCAAAAACTAATTAAAAAGAAGCTATGCACTCCTATGTTCATTACAGCATTCTTTACAATAGCCAAAATATGGAAGCAACTCAAGTGCTCATCAATAGACAATGGAATAGTACTTGGCCATAAAAAAGAATCTTACCATTTGTGACAGCATGAGTAGGCCTAGAGGGTATTATGCTCAGCGAAAAAAGTCAGTCAGAAAAAAACAAATACCATATAATGTCACTTGTATGTGGAATCTAAAGAACAAAACAAAACTGAAGCACCCATAGATACGGGGAACAGACTGACAGTTGCCAGAGGGGAGGGAGGTTGGGGACTGGGCGAAAAGGCGAAGGGATTGAGTATAAATTGGTAGTTAGAAACAGTCACGGGGCTGTAAAGCACAGCAGAGGGAATCTAGTCAGTGTTACTGCGGTAAGTCTGTATGGGGGCAGGTGGGGGTGGAGCTCTCAGGGAGACCACTTTGTAAAGTGTATGGTTGTCTAACCACTGTGGTGTACACCAGAAATGATACATAGTGATAGTGAAAGTAAACTCTAATTGAAAAATAACACTTAAAAAGGAAAGAAAAACAAAATAGAAATTTGAAGTGGGAAAGGGGCCTTAAAGCCCTGGCCGGTTTGGCTCAGCAGTAGAGCATCAGTCCACAGACCAATGAGTTGTGGGTTCGATTCCGGTCAAGGGCACGTACTTCAGTTGCGGTTTGTCCCCGGCCCTGGCCTGGGTCGTGCAGGAGGCAACCAGTCATATGTCCCTCTCACCTAATGTTTTTCTCTCTCTCTCCCACTCTATCTGAAGATAAGTAGAAAAATATCCTCGGGTGAGGATTAAAAAAAAATAAAGGGACCTTCAGATCCATTTACTCCTGTCATTTTTCAGAGAGGAACAAAGTCTGTCCTAGGTAGATGAAGCTATTTGTGGAAATGGACTAGAACCTCAGGTAAATATTCTGACTTCCAATGAAGTGGAAAACACTGTGTTGTGGAAGGAATATTTGACCAGAATTTTAGGTAGCTTGAGTTTTATTCTTGGCTCCTCACTTACCAGCCCGTGTGCTCAGAGGCTCTGTGTGTTTGTGTTCTGTGGGTATAGTATCTTTCTTAGTAAGTCTGATGGTAGTTGTGAAGATGAATGAAATAGTGGATTGAAGATATTCAATAAATTTTAAAACCTTAGATGAATAAGTATATCATATATTGTGGTATTTTTATTACACATTCCATAATACTTTATTTTAATTTTTATTTATTTGTAATGTCTTTGTAAACTAGATTATCAGCCGTGGCAAACTCACCCAGTGTTGTTGATTTAGGGATGTCATTTAGGTCTCTGAAAATTTACTGTTATGCCCTGTGTTGCTCTGCCACATGATTTTGTACACTTTATTTACTTAACCTAAAAAAGTTTTTGAGTTTTTCTTACAATAAGTGAAAGATTATGCTTTTGAATAACACAATAGTAACATGCATTGAACACTGTCCATTTGGTGTTTCTGACCATTTGAAAATAGCATCCAGGATTGTCCTCAAACTGGCTTTAGTGATTTAACTGAAATATGAAAGAGTTCAGTAAAGATGAAATATTTATTTCTTGACATGGGGATAGGCTGGCTTTGTTTTCTTAAACTGCCAATAATAATTAAACACACATTTAAAATGTCCTGTTTGTTTCTTTACAGGAATAATGATGTATTTGTGGCCTTGGACGTGAAGCAGTCGGTCGGTCTCCTGTGCTGTTAACGTGGCGTCGGGGACTGATGTGGTGGGAAGCATGGACCTGATGAACGGGCAGGCAAGCAGTGTGAACACCGCTGCCACTGCTTCCGAGGTGAGACATGCAGGAAGCTGCTTGTTGAGTTTCCTACCTGGCATTCTACCTTTTCAAGCATCTCTGTTGGTCATAGATTTAAATCAGAAGTTGAAAAGGGGCTACACATTCTTTAGTTTTAATTGTGCCATTCAGATGTTCAGTGTGCATCTTCGAAACCAGATAATCCGTATCCACTTAACCTGCTTGACAGGTAATGACTCTGACCAGTTTGGCTGAGCAGTTAGTGTCAGCCCTCGGACCAAAGAGTCATGGGTTCAGTCCCTGGCCCTAGTTGGGGTCTTGCCCTGGTTGGGGTTGGGCGGGAGGCAAGTGGTTGATGTGTCTATCTCACATCGATGTTTCTCTCTCCCTCCTGTCCTCCCACTCTATCTTTAAAAAAAAAAAAAGGAAAAAATATCCTTAGGTGAGGATTAAAAATAAAAGAGATGCTTAACAAATAATAGTTACTTAAAATCCTTTCTAGGGTTTAGTTTTAAAGGACACCTAGAATTTCTTTTATGGGTGTTTTTACATTACATGAACTTTGAGGGCAATAGTAAAAGTGAAACAAAGAAAGATTCTTTTATTCGGAATTATATAATTCTGGACACTCTCTGGATCCCTTGACTCCAAGCCTGTTGAAGGAGATTAAAGAGCCATTAGGCTGGAATGTTGGGAGGGCTGCTCTGGTGACGCAGCTTCGTTAAGGACGGAGATGAAGACAGTACTGAATGCTCACCTCTCTCCTGAATGTCTCATGATTTTATCTTTGCCTCACCTTTTTTTCTATTTTGTTTTGTCTGTAAATCTAAGGTAAACTTGCCTGCTTTCCTTAATGTTGACATCTAGCTGCTATGTTTTTTATTTTTCTCTCATTATATAGCTTGAGAATAATGGCCTTTAATACCTTGGCCTCAAAGTTCTTTAATAACTTCAACTCCATTTTGCCCCAGACAGTTACTTGGGCCTTACTATCATTGAAATTACTCTAAGTCTGTGGTTTCGATTATTTTTCTTATGCAAATGATTTCTGTATTTTTATCTCTAGCTGTGCTTCACTCATAAATTTTATTAAGCATTTCTGATGGACCAGACATTTTACTTACACAGTAAACAAAATCATTTTACTGCTGCCCAATCTCTAAAGAAAATAGTTCAGCCCCTCTGACTTCTGTTAATGGCGTCTCCATCTCCGTGGCCATCTGAGTCTAAATCTTTAGATTTCTCACTAACTTGCTTACCATTTGCCCACCACAGTTACCTTCCCCACAGCAGGGAGGGTCTGTCTGCAAAACAGAAGTTAGCTGTCTTCTGTAGCATAATCCTCGAGGTGCTGTCCCATCATCTCTGCTTATCCTGTTGGTTAGAAACAGGCCAGGGTCCTGCCCGCATTCGAGTGGAGAGGATCACACAAGGGCGCGTCTGCAGAGAGATCCTTGGCAGCCCCTAGAGGCTGCCCCACACCTTATCTCTAGGACCCAGTCCTTCCTCCTCATTTCTACCAGCACCTCTTCGTTTGGTCACTCATTTCTTGTCCGGGTTGTTGCAACAGCCTTTTAGTTTGATCTTGCGTTTCTGTTCTCAGCTGTGTTTGGTCCGTTTGACTGCAGTTCAGTTTTAGTATTCTTAAAATACAGCTGTTAAACTTTACTGAAACCCCAAACTGTTTGTGGTTCCTCACTGCCTAATTAAATACAAATGACCCTCAGCCTTCCATTCAAGACTTTTCTCAAAATGGCCCTAAATTTGTTTTCTAATGGGTTTAACTGCTGCTAATCCTCTACTTGAAATTTACAATCCCATGAAAGAATACTTGCTGAAGTTTGTGTAAACCTTAGCTTTCCTTCTGTTATACCTGCCTGTGTCCGATTTTTCTACCCATGTGCCCTTTCTTCTCCCTGCCAAAAAATTCATTTTGTCTGTCTTTCAAAACCTGTTTCAAATGCTATACTTTCAGGAGCATCTTTTCCTGATCCCCTAAAGACATGAGAGCTTTTCTATTCTTAAAATTTTTATCACTTAAAAAAATGCTTTTTTATACTTTTTAAAATAAATTTATACATAGCTTTACTTCCTTCTTGAGACAGGGAGTTTATTATATGTTTGTATTATATGTATGTTTATTTGCTATATTTATATTTATAACCATGTTACTTGAATACATTAAATTCATGTGTGTATATGTATAGTATATTTATAACTATATATCCTGAAACATTTGTCTAGGAAGCTGTGCATAATAATTTGTTAAATAAAATAAATCATTTCACTTACATAAATAATTTTGTTGACTTTCCTAAAAGTGAATGACTTACATCAGGCTTCAGATATAAAAATAATTTTCACCTTCTCTTAGAATATAGATCTATTAACATATCAAAATGCAGGTTTCTCGTAATGTGATAAGCTTACAGAATGAACAAAATACTTTCTCTGAGTGATTGACTTCTCCTGTTTTAGTACCTTTACTTTTTTTATTTTTTTTTTATTTTTTTGGTTAATTCTTACCTGAGGATATTTTTTCCATTGATTTTTAGAGAGAGTGGAAGGGGGGGGGGGGCATATCGATTGGTTGCCTCCCACACGCACCCGGACCAGACTCTGGGCTCGAACTTGCAATCCAGGTACGCGCTCTTGACCAGTATTGAAGCTGAGACCCTTTGGTGCTCGAGCCCTTGCTCTAACCACTGAACAACACCAGCCAGGGCAGTACTTTTACTTTTTTTTTTTTAATCATCACTTGAGGACATTTGTGCATTTATCTTCAGACAGAGCGGGAGAGAGAGAGGAGGGGGGAGGCATATCGATTGGTTGAGAGAGAGAGAGAGAGAGAGACATCGACTGGTTGCCACCCACACGACCCCAACCAGGGCTGGGGACAAACTGCAACCGAGGTATGTGCCCTTAGCGGGAACCGAACCCGGGACTCTTTGGTCCATGGGCCAACACTACCCACTGAGCCAAACCGGCCAGGGCAGTACTTTTACTCTTAACCTGCACTTGAAGCTTACAGTGTCAGGAAAGTTTCAGTGAACTTTGCTTCAGACTTTTAGAAGTGTGTAGTTTGTTTGGTCTTGTGTTGAATAAAGAATTACTAACTATTCTCTTAGTGGACATTGTGCTGAAGTACTACATAGCTTCCTATCGTTACCATCACATTTACTGGTTTTGGAGAAGCAGATAGACGCACATCCCTCGTAATTGTAAGGACAAAGGGAGGTGATTACTCATTTTCATGACCAGTACAACTACCATCATGACTAATTTACTAGTGTTGAATGGGTTAAAAACTTGGAGAAAATTACCAAGTCATGTTTAATTACCAGGTTATTACTTGACAGATATAATTCGTTATCTGGGCAGTTCCTGGATTAGTGTATACTGCTAAACTGATGTCTATTTGAATGCTTAGCATTGTGAGTAAACTTCTGTGTTAATCTTAGGACATAAAATAATATTGTTGACATCCTAGAAGCTAATCATAGGTACAGAGATTAAACACATGAAATAAAACTATGTATAAATACATTTATGGGACTTTGGATTTTTGCTCGGGCATGTAAAGAACTTGGAATTAATCACTCCTGTCCTTAACATGAAAAAACTGAACAAACTAAAAGATCAGTAACTCTTTTTAGCTGTGTCAGTGAGTTGACGTCACAGAGCAAACCGACAGAGATGCCGGACAACTGGGGGCAAAGGCAGAGAATCGCGGTTTCCAAGGGCAGACGTCCGCGGGGCCTGGAAGTGTCGGACACTTGCATAGTTTTCCAACTGCTGGAGGCTGTGTGCGGACTCGCTTGAGAGTTCAAACTCCTTGGGGTCCAGACTTTCGTGAGTCGTACCTCTAGGAGCCTCAGCACCAGGTTCTCACAGTGAAGCTCGGAGAAAAGCCCCTCCTGCTTCCAGCAGCGTAGAGGGAAAGCAACCACTCTGAAACCTGCCCGGGAGAAGAGACCGTTCTGAAGTATGCCAGCGCGTCCTGCTCTTCCTGACCCCGAGGACACTGTCAGAGCCTGATCCACTCGGGGGAAGGGAGACACACACTCCCCACTCCCTCCAGTGTCCCTGTCCCCTTTCTCAGGGCAGTAGGGGCACTGAGAAGCACCTGAGACGGGCTCAGTGAAAGACCTGATTGTGGGGTCGAGGCTGCTTGCCCCACACTTCACACCTCATCAGCAGGCCCCTTAGAGCAAAGGACGGCCGCTGGAAGAACTGCCGGGCAAAGACCGGCTGGGGCGGAGTTGCTAGAGAAACCCCAAACAGTGGGAGAGACAAAAACAAGGGCACTAGTGGAAATGGAACCCTCAGACAGCTCCAGCAGCAGCAAAGAGTAAACGCAGCGTAACTCCTACCTAAGTAAACAAACCCTTGCACCATGGGCCTATTCACCTTACTTCCTGTTACTCAAAAATCATGCCTGGCTTTCAACAAATTGCAAGGCATACTAAAAGGTAAGAAAAACATAGTCTGAAGAGTCAGAGCAAACAATAGAACCAGACTCAAATATAGCAGAGACTTTGGAATTATCAGACCGAGAATTAACCATGATTAATAATGTGGGCTCTGATGGAAAAAAATAGACAACATGCAAGAACAGTTGGGTGATGTAAACAAGGATATTCTAAGAATCAAAAGGAAACGCTAGGATCAAAAACATTGTGACAGAAATGAAGAATGACTTTGATTGGCTCAATAGCAGACTGGTGGCCAGTGGGCAGTCGAGGAAAGGATCAGTGAACCTGAAGGGAGTCAACAGGGCTTCCCAGACTCAAATGCAAAGAGAAAATGGAGTGAAAAAAAAAAGGAACAGTATCCAGGAACTGTGGGATGGTGACAGGGGTGTAACATACACGTAGTGGAGCTACCAGAGGACAAAGAGAAGGGAGCAGAAGAAATATTTGAAGTAATAATGGTTGAGAACTTTCTGAAATTAATGATGGATCCCTGCCTTTGTAACAATTTTGATAATTAGCTTTTCTCAAAAGGGAGGAAAAACTAAAATTGAGGCATAATGACAAGTGCTCAACAGTGATGTATAACAGCTGGTAGGTTGACATATGGTATACCTTGGTAATTGAAACTTTTGTTATTTTTTTGTGTGTCGTTAACTGTAGCCTGATTTTCTGCCACCGTTTGTAGAGCATGATCTAAATATTGTTACGATGATGATGCTCTCATTTCAGCCAAACGATGTGGGATATGTTTTTATCTTGGGATACAGAGGAAGTGGAAACTGAACAGAAATAAGATTTTCAGAGCCAAAAGCCACCTTTTGGTCTACATGTAGCAACAATAGCAAATTCAAACTGAAAACAGTAACGTAAAGCAGAAAACACTTAAATTTGTAACATAATAGGAAGACAGTATCGGGTGCAGTATCCCAGATAGACATTCACTTTACAAATAATACTGGATTATTTCAGTGGGTTCTGCATGTTTTCTTATATAGTTTATGGTTGTTTTTTGTTGTTTTTTATCCTCACCCGAGGACATTTTTCCATTTTCGTTCAGATAGAGCGGGAGGGAGAGAGAGGAAGAGAGAGAGAGAGAAACATTGATGTGAAGGGACACATCGAGTGGCTGCCACCCGCACGACCAACCAGGGCCGGGGACAAACTGCAACTGAGGTACATGCCCTTAGCGGGAACCGAACCCGGGTCTCTCTGTACTGCAGGCCGACGCTCCAACCGCTGAGCCAAACCAGCCAGGGCTTATAGTTTATGTTTTGAAAATAACCTTTCTCTCCTAACTTTCCTTGCCGCCATCTGAATATCATTGAATTTGTTAAAATCTTTCATTTCTGTAGGAAATGATAGGGTTGTCAGGATGAGGAAAGTGACAGGACAATGACTTACTCGGGCACCTAGAAACCTGACGTTGAGGTTAGACTTCAAGCTGCCTGACCCTTTAGTGCTTTTGCAGACCGCACCATGCCCTGCCCAGCTCGCCTGCTGCATCTGTTAACCCACTCGACTCCGTTTCCTCCGTTTTTTATGCCCGTCTGGTTCCCGTGACGTGACGGGCAGTGTTAAAATAGCTGCATTTTCTTTTACTTTAACAGAAAAGTAGCAGTTCTGAATCATTAAGTGACAAGGGCTCTGAATTGAAGAAAAGCTTTGATGCTGTGGTATTTGATGTTCTTAAGGTTACACCAGAAGAATATGCGGTAAGCCTCCCCCCCTCCTGTCTCCAATTTTTGCACATAATTTATGTGTTGGTGCTATTGAGTTAGAATTTGTAGGATCAGCAGAGGAGGTGGTAAAAATAAATACATAAAGCTGGATGTGGGAATTAATAGGGAGAGTAGCCCAACGGTGGAGCAAGAACAGGGATGAATCGGGGAAGGTAAGAAGCGCTGCAGATATTGTTAGAGCAGCTTCGTGAACTTCACTTTCGGCTTGGTAAGTAAGAATAAGTACTTGCCTTTATGGTCGTTGCTTTTGTAGTCCCTACCTGTACCACCTCCCCAAGGCAGCTGTACTTTATTGGCATGTTAGAAGTATTTTTACTTTTTTCTAAATTGAAAAATGAAAGTTGAAGGCATTATTGCAATATTATGAAAGTTATCCAGAAAAATTTTTATTTCTTAAATGACATAAACGTTTATTTATATTCTCTTTCTCCTTGAACTTGTTAAAAGAATACATTGATTTCCTGATATTGAACCACTCTTACGATCCGGGAACAAACTGTTTGGTCATTGCATGTTGTTGTTTAATATATTGTTGGGTTTTGTTTTACATCTTTAGCCATAGGTAAGATAGGTCTATAACACTGCGCCATGAACCAGTAGATCTGATTTTTGGTTTTGATTTTGATTTAATGTATAACCATGTTCAGATTTTCAAACTTATTTTTATTTTCTAACTTTACCTCGTTTGGCTCACAAGAAAATATGAATAGGTGTGAGGTAATTAAAAATACTTATATTTAATAGTATAAGGGCTAAATTTTCATTTTCTTAAGTCCTTATAAATTGACATTTTTTTTCTGGTAAAGATTTGATTATTCATAATATATTTTAGTACAGAATGTCACTTTAATTTAGAATATATGTCATATCATGAAATTCCAAACAAGAAATTGTCATTTGTTCTTGGTTTTTGTTTTTTTTTACATTTTATTTCAGGGTCAGATAACGCTAATGGATGTCCCAGTATTTAAAGCCATTCAACCGGATGTGAGTACTTTTAAGAACTTTTCTTATAATATACAAAATAGGCAATAATAGTATCCCAAATTAAAAAGTTTTAGAATGTTCAAATTATGCTTCCTAAATTGTATATGTTTAATGCTCTTGATGTAACTTGTCTGTATATTATTCAGGCCTCGGCAACTCATGTGCTGGTCACAGCTGGCATCACAGGGTCCTAGGCAGGGCTGTGGGAATCATTTTCGTTGATTTGGCTTCATCGCTTTAGTGAAGGGGAAATAGACTGAGAGGCTGGATGATTTACCCAGGGCTCTGAAGCTTTTCAGTGGGAGACTGGGAATGAGGTACAGTACCAGGTTTCACAACTCACTCCAGTCGTCTTTCCCTTACACCTTTATTTTATGACTTTATAATGTGACAGTGTGTTGACATTTTGGAGCAAAGAGAGAGAATCAAGGAAGGCATTTTTGTATTTTTTTAAAGAAGGAGATGAACTTTTATTATGCATCTACCCACATTAAACCACTTACCATGCTTACATCAGGGCAACAACGACTGGAGTGCGTTGTGACTCCAGGGCAAAGGCCGGTGCGCGGCAGTGAGTTCACAGTGGGTGAGGGGTCAAGTGAGGGCAACTTGGCATACAGCCTTGAAAACCATTCCTCATATAATCACCACAATTCCATGGCGTCTGGCAACATCGACAGGACTTTGTCATCCTGCAGAAAATGTTTTCTAGTTTATCATGACATAGTTAATATAAGACATAAAGAATAAGAAGAGGAACCCTTGGGTACCTACCTACCTCACCAGTACTGTCGAAGCCGCTCTGCGTTCCCTCCCATTTACCCCGTCTTCCTTCCTCCCACTCAGGCAGCCACTCTCCAGTGTGGGTCTGAGTCATTCCTTTGCACTTACTATATTTTTTCTGCAAGTACATATATCCCTTAATATGTGCTATTGCAGGTTTTACTCCTTTTTTTATTTAGATGGAGTGGAAGGGAGGAAGGGAGAGAGAAGGAGAAATTGGTTGCCTCCCTCACAAATCCGACCAGGGCAGTGGATTGAACCTGCAACACAGGTACGTGCCCTTGGCCGGAAATCTAACCTGCAGCCCTTCGGTCTGGGAGCTGACGCTCCGACCGCTGAGCCAAACTGGTCAGGGCTGTTTTACGTTTTTTATCTAAATGGTATCCTATTTTTTTGTCTCCTTTGGCATGCTTTTTGCGTTCAGTGTTGTTGAGTAGCATCCATGTTGATATCTTCACTCGAGCACATATATCAATGTGAGCATCTTCAAAATTGTTTTCCAAAGTGTTTGTCCAGATACTGGTTATTATGTCAAAACTCTTGCTGCCACCCGCACGACCAACCAGGGCCGGGGACAAACTGCAAACGAGGTACATGCCCTTAGTGGGAACCGAACCTGGGTCTCTCCGGACCGCAGGCGGACGCTCTAACCGCTGAGCCAAACCGGCCAGGGTGTGCTATTAAAAAATTTAACAAAAGATTATTTAAGCCATGATGTCAGTCAGTCTAATAGATTCATCCTTTTTATTAGCATAAAATAGTGTCTACCTCATTACGTAGTAGTATATTAGCTTCATTAAGGTATGAAAGAATTCTTTTAAAAAAATGAAAGAATTGTTTTTGTTAAAATTGAGCAAAATATTGTGAAAAGATAGTGGTCATCACTGAATCTAGTAAATTTATCTTCATGCTTTTGTCTACTATACCACTATACCAATGTTCAAGTTTCTGTATATTAAAAAAACTTAAGAAGCTGTGTGTGTGTGTGTGTGTGTGTGTGTGTACATTGGATGGGCAGAAGTAGGTTTAAAGTTCATATGGCAAATAATACAATAATAAATAATGCAAGAATAAACTGTTTCACGTACTTAAACTGTAAACCTGCTTTTGCCCACCCTTGTGTGTGCGTGTGTGTATACTTTACGAAACTGTAAGATCTTAAGTTACACCAAAACTATTTAAATTAAAGCTCATTATCATGTGTATCTATCTATCTATAACTTTATTTTAGGTGACGATTTATTCACATTTTCTGAAATAAAAAATGTACTAATTTAGAACTTTGACCATCAGAGTCGGACTCCTGGGTGGCTTGGTGATTTTGCTGGCAGGCTGGTGATCGAACTGCACAGCTCAGTTTTCTGTACTGGCGGCCATTTCTGTGTATTAAAATATGTATCTCCTATTGCTAATCAGTTTGTGGAATTCCTGTCTGTATTCCCGAGTCTTTTGTGTAAGCAGAATTTAGCTAACTTGTGCCACCCAGACTTGTTCCGACCTGTGGGAAGAAAGGGGCGACTCTAAGGCGTGCAGTCACTCTCTGGGAAAGCTGCTTACTGGCCACGTCTGCAGTGCCAGGGACTTCAGAACTGCTCAGGGGGAAAGGAAAGTTCCACACCTTTCATTTCACTGCAGAAACTCTCTGCCTTATTTTTAAAGTGTGAACAAGTGTTTTTTATTATGTAGGGACATCTTTAGTCATTGAAAGAATACTGGCCAAACAAAAGTATGCCTTTAAGAGCAGATCTGAACCAAACATGATGCCAATGCTGGTTTCTCGCCACCGGTGTCACACTTGAAATGACCTCAGATCAAAAGAAGACAAAAGAACAATGTTGGATACTTGGCTTCTTAGGTTTTTTGTTTTGTGGTAGATAAAAATGGCAAAATATGTTTACCAGTGAAAAGAATTGAATATTAAAGGAAAGTTCACTCAGCTCTCGTTCCGATTCCCCTACATTTCCCGTGGGAGTAGAGTTCCCCAGGGAGAGTGCTCTGTTTCCTTGTGGAAAGCTCTGCACCCTCACAGGGCTCCCCTCCGTGGGGAGTGCCTCCGTGGCGAGGCAGCAGTGACTCTTCTGAAGGGTCCCGTGTGTATTGCACTCCTAGGCTTTGGTTTTGTTTTTTGTCCATCTTGACTTCTTCAATGTTCTATAAAGCTTGTATTTCTTCTGAAGGCAGTGCCATGTGTACTACGACAGTGGGCTTTCTCTTCAGAATGACCATTATGCTCATCACAGGATGTGTTAGGACTGAAACCTGCTTGCATCGGTTTCCTGTCCAGGAGCAGTTCTGTGGTGCTCTCGTAAGTCTTGAGGAAGGAGGGACTTGTGTGTTCGTCATCACGTTGGATAATGTTTGCCTCTCTTATGAGGTCCCCAAGTATCCCCAAGTATAAAGTAACAGGCTGACATGTATTCCATTCAAAGAAGAAAGTCCACACTGTATTTGTTCTAGTGGGTCAGTACAATAAGTTTAGAGAGAGTGTCAGTAAACAGACATTAAAGACGAAGGCCCGATAAGGCCTCCTGTGTAAGCGGGATGCGCCAGAGTGCGGAAGAAGGCTGGGTAGGTGAGGGAGAGTATGCGGCAGGGCATTCTGAGTCTTCTTAAGTCACTTTTGAAAATCTTTCCAGTGAGATATTTCTGACATATATATAAAGAGCTTTCTCTCTGCAAACTTGCTTGTGTATGCAAAGAGACCGTAATCTTGGTAACATCCAAAGTTCCAACATCAGGAACGGCTTGGTCAATGAAAATTATCGTCTGCATTAGAATTAAAATGTAAACAGTTCATGCATAGACTGAGAGGTTTGAAGAAAGCAAAAGACGCACACGTCGATGTCAAGATTTTCTTGTAGACTGGAATCAGCATGGTTCTAGCAGAGGCAGGGTGGCTGTTTTCACCATTCCATGTCATTGCTGTTCATCACCACGGACTTCCTTAACAGTAGGGTCAGGGTCAGGGTCGGGGTCAGGCTTGGGGTAGAGCTAGAGAAGATGCAGAAGAGAATTGTTGATTAGGAGAGTAGCTGTGCTGTAACTTCTGCCTTTATCTCTGATCTCGCGATAGAGGCAGCTTTAAGGTAGGGGAAGGAGAGAATGTGATTACATTAGAAAGGGGAAGTGGTTTTATAAAATTGATTTTAGAGTGAGAAAGGTGGGGAGAGAGAGAGAAGCATTGATTGGCTGCCTCCCATAGGCACCCCAACTGGGGATCAAACCTGCAACCTGGGTACGTGTTCTGACTGAGAATCGAACCCACAACCTTTTGTTGTATGGGACGATGCTCCTACCAACTGAGCCACACTAGCCAGGGCGAGAAGTGATATTTTTGATTTCACACATTACATTGGAGTTACGTAGTTTGAGGCGGAATGCTGATTTCAAAGCTTATTCTGTTGATTATTTAAAATATAGGAATCATAGTGAGGACTTCATCTGTAGCTGAGACTTCTTTCTAAATAGCCACGTAGGCCGAATGCTAATGCTTGATCCCTTTAAAGCTTCCCACTTTTGAGCAGGTGTCCTCGGCTGTTGTTATCATCTTGTGAGGGTCCCCTTGGCCCTGCAGCCTTTTACAGATTCCATTGCTTTTTCTGTTCTTCCTCAATCTCTGTCTACATGCTGGTCTATATTGGCCTTTTCTCTTCTTCTATCTATAGGTGTCCCTACAACATCACCCTTAGAGCAGTCCTTTTAAGAGTGTTGGAACCTACAAGATGAAAGTTAGATCAAGAATTTGACCTTACAGAACAAACCTGCGAGACCTCAGAGAAGCTGTGGCCCCTGTGAGACTGATTCTTTCACAGGGTAGGTGGTCCTCCGCGGTGCTCGCCTGCGCCGCTTCCGAAGCAGATGCCGCTGAAACTGGGCTCAGCAGCTTCATAGCTCCAAACGAGTCCGTGAATATTCTTCCAGTCACACTTTTAATGACCATGAGAAATTGCCTTTCTGTATGTGAGTTACTAGTAGAGGATTTTCTTCACTGCCTGATTTAAAAATTAAGTTAAATCCATTTGAACAAATTTTAAGAGGCATCAAGGCTCCTATGTTTCCTTGAGCCTTTGCTAAAACGGAGGCTTTTCATATCGTGTACTCAACCTAAATCAGTCCTGCTCTCAAGTCGGGCCGTTTGAAACATCCTTCGAGGGACTGAGTTTACTTCACCTTCTTGGTGCTCGTGGGAGCTGTTCGAGTGTAGAACACTCTTGACCAGGGTGCAAGGTGATGCTGGTAGAACTGATCTCTCAGATCGAATCCTCATGTCACTTGGAAGAAGACCCTAGAGTCTGAGACAAAAAGAGGTAGTGACAAAAAAAGCAACTTTTTTGTCTCAGAGAAATTCAGCTGAGAGGTGGAGACGGGGCAGGACACAAGTCCTCGGAGGCCAGCTGACCGCGAGTGCTGGTCGATTCCGAAGGAGGCGGGGGCGGGTCCTAGAGTCCGTGCATTTCAGCTTCACAACTCATTAAATGGGTTTTTGTGGTGGTTTAACTTCTTAACTTTGAGGCAACTATAGATTCATAGGAAGTTGCAAAAAAGTAGCGCAGAGAAGCCCACTGGCCCATCACCCAGTTTTCCCTAGAGTTACATCTTACAGAAATAGAGTTCAGTACATGTCTGTATAGTTCTGTGACATGTTGTCATGTGTGTAGATTAGTCTAACCACCTTGCAGTCGAGATACGGAACGATTCCATCACCACAGGATCTCTCCCTCATGCTACCTGCCCCTTTAAGCAACACCCATCCCCCTCCTGCCCCTACCCCCAGCATCTGTAACTCCTGGCAACCTTAACTCCTCCTCCATCTTTATAGTCCCGTGGTTTGTTGTGTTAGATGGGCTAGTAATGTAACATTGTCTCAAAGGGGAAATATTCTCCTAAGCAGAAACTACTTACCATCTTAAGTAGTTTTGAAAAAAACCTATTTCTTCATATTTTCTAATTATACATTTCTTTTGAATGGAGAGCTCCATTTGAATTTTAATCCGTTTGCTCCCAAGTCGTGTAACTACACCTTCATTCTTTTCCCCCCTCCACTTCCAACATTTTCTTAAAGGGGCAAAGCGTTTTTCCATTAAGTTAATGATGATGAAATATTCCAAGAATTAAATTTTTCAAAACCTCTTAGCATTTTTATTTGAAGAGTCACAAAAAATCTTTTAATGTAAAACATAAAGCTGTAAGTAAGTCGCCAGTACTGTTGCCTGGGTTTCTTACTTATCATAATAAATTATAATGATGAAGGTAAAATCAAATGAGTTGGTATGTATGAAGAACTTAGAATAGCGCCTGGCATATGGTGATCTTTACATTGGTGTTAACGTATTATTTTTATTGCTGCTATTAAGACACCTTTTCTCAGGATGAGAAGAACTTTTTAAGCACAAACTCAGTAGGTTAAATCACACAAAAAATGTCAAGTATATTGACTCTTTTAAAGAAACAAACAAAATCCAGGCCCCCATAGGCACTTGAGAAAGATTGGGAAGATGTTTACATAGGTTTTCTTTGGGTGGTGGGTTTCTAGGTGATTCACAGCACCCCCCCTCCCATTTTCTCTCTCTCTCTCTTTTTATCCTCACCCGAGGATATTTTTCTGTTTATTTTCAGACAGAGTAGGAGGGAGAGAGAGAGAGAGAGAAACATCAGTGTGAGAGAGACACATCGATTGGTTGTCTCCCACACCACCCCAACCAGGGCCAGGGACCGAACTGCAACTGAGGTATGAATGGCCGGAATCGAACCTGCAACTCTTTGGTCCTCAGGCCAACGCTCTAACCACTGAGCAAAACCGGCCAGGGCCATTTTCTCTCTTTTTAACAAATGTATTTAACAAGCATAATTGTTCTTACATTTGGGGAAATTAAAATAATAATATATATTAAGGGGAATTAAATATACCCAGTTTTGATAAGACTATTATGTAGTGGTAATATAAATAATTTGGTATTTCAGGATGGCATTTAGATTTCAGAGCCTTGAAAAAATGCATACTTTTTGACCTAGTGATTTTACTTGCAGGATTAAATTTTTAGGAGATGATCAGAAATGTTGGAAAAAGTACAAGGATGCAGGGGTGGGGAATGTCTGGCCTGAGGGCCGTATAAGGACCCCGAAATCAATACCTGCTAACTTCACACACTCACCAAATTAGCCTGACCGAATATAGCAGGCTAGGTTTTAAGTTGATAATTATGTGTGGCCCGGGAATGATGTTATAAATATCCAAATGTCCTTGGCAGAAAAACGGTCCCCCAGCCCTGAAGCAGGAAAATGAGACTCGTCTTATGTGTAAAGCTCTGTAATTGAGTTTGAACCTCTGTCAGTGGCTGCATTAAATGGTTTGATACGTTGAACAGCATTTGGATACACTTGGATCATAGCATTAATATAAATTTGGAAATTATATTGATGGATGAAAAACAAATTTAGTATTTATGGATTTAATTCAGGAATTTTGTCCGAAAATATGGCTTTTTTTATACAGTTGTATATATATATGTTGTGATTTTTAGGAGGAACAAAAATATTTTTTAGCAGATTGATGTTTTTTAATGTAGTTGTCATATAATGTCATTTTTATGTTACTATACTATCTATTACTAAATATTTTTTGGCTGTACTGGGAAATAATGTGAGATGGTCATATATATATCTAGGCTGAGTACCAAGTAATTTTTTTTTGCTGTAGAGTTGCTTCTGTCAGTTTATTTTTTTCTTCAGTAATTTCAAATTTGATAATTGTCGTTTAATTTTAGGTTTGAAAGTTAGTAATTTGTATCTTCAGAGTATTTACCGCTCATCTGCGTTGAAGGAATATATGTGCTTTTTAATGCTGTATTAAATAAGATCTAGAATTGAGAGGTCATGATATTACAGTAATGATGAGTGTAAATGTTTTTGAAATACCCTGCAACGAGATAGGAAAATACGTGATTTTTATTAGTGACAGTCACACATACTGCTAATTGTAATCTGTAGCCTACATTTATAATGAAAAGGAATGTCATTTCAGTTAGAGGTTAGTGTAAAATACAAATTTAATTTTTTTTACCCAAGTTCTTGAGCCCTTTGAATTCTCTTTATGGACCCTGTGGGGGATCAAGAACCCCTGCATTAGAGGTTTTTAACTGTCAGAGTCACTGATTGTCAGGCCAGAGTGCGGTGCTGGAAGCCGATTGGAAGCTCTGAGTGACTGGATGGGGCTGACAGCTGATAGGCTTCACTTTGGGCTGTGGGTGCTCAGCCTTCATGATCTGTGGATCTTTTTTCTGGGGATGCACGTCTCTTCAGAGAAGGATCCGTCAGTCTGCCTGTGGAGCAGCGCTCCAGTCATGTTTGCCCTCACGTAGTCTGCTTCTGTGATTCCACCGAATGGTTATAATGTTCGTTCTATTCCTACTGAATGAGAGTTCTAGGAAGGGACACAACTGTCTTTAATGTTTTGAAACCCTTAATATGACAAGAAAACCTGGCTATTTCTTTAATTTATTTTTAATTTTCAACTTAATTTTTCAGGAGCTTTCAAGTTGTGGATGGAATAAAAAAGAAAAATATAGTTCTGCACCAAATGCAGTTGCCTTCACAAGAAGATTTAATCATGTGAGTTGCTTATAAAATGTTGATGTTTAGTTTTCTGAAATATAATTCCTCAATATGTAATTTTTCATAAAGAAATAGTTGAACTTTTTATATCAGTTCTGGAATATTTTCATCCCATATCTCTTCAAATATTGTCTCTGTATAATCACTTTTTTTCTTCTGCAGTTCCTATTGGAAATTTGTTAGAACTTGACGTTTTTTTCTACTTGTCTTACCCTTTCATGTGTTGATCCTGTCCCCTCGTGCTCATTCTGTGCACTTTTCTTAGATCTGTAATTGAGCTTACTGATTCGCTTCAGAAGTGTTGCAACTGTTTTAAATCTGTGTGCTTTTACACATGTCATAATTTCTTAAATCATTTTCAATAGTTTATTTTATAATTTATTTATTATTATCCAGAGTTTTTGGGGTACTCAGTCTGTTATTTCTGCTGATCCTTATTCACAATGGTTTGTTTTCATGCACATTTTGTAATTTTGGATTGAGAGCTCAGTCTGTTTCAACTTTATTCATGGGGATTTTGCCACCACTTAGATTGAGGGTAATGTTAAGTGTTTTGGTTAGGGAACATCTGTACATCCCTGTAGTGAAAATTTAAACTTGAAATCTGACTAAGGGCAAGTTACAAATTCTTATACAAGACATACTTTTCTCCTTCCTTTGCCAGTAGGTGAGTTGTTTCGCCCACCTTGTCGCCAGGAATGGAGCCCTTCCCGGAGCCCCGAGATAAGAGGTGGGAGGGTGGAGCTTCGCGACCTTGTGTTATGAAGGACTGCTAAGTCCTAGGCCCCTCACGGAGAGGAAGTCCTCCCATTCGTCCAGCCACTGTTTGCCCTTATTTCTTTGTTTGTTTTTGGCCTTTAGGGAAATCCTTTATATTCCTTTCAAGTTAGATACACTTTATTTTTAGCAAAACCGTTTGTTATCTTTAACCCAGCGTTTCTGTGGGTCTCTAGCCACTAGTTTCTCAGGCTGCGTGGTTCACTATATACCCCCAAATTGAAGGGAGTTAAAGTTTTTAAAAATTAGATTAAACCACTAATATAGGGATATAGGGCAAACGTGTCTTGTGCTGAAGTCCATGTTTAAGCTGTATATATAGCAGTTGTCAAAATTTTCCTGAGGTGGTTAGAATTTACCATCACAATAAAAGTTTTTTCTTTGCCATCCAAATACATTATGTTTACAAAACCTACAAGTTTGACTCTAGATTTTAAGCACTTAAATTATTACTCTCAAGTAAGCCAAAAAGTTGTCAAGTATATCAAAGTGCACCAGAAGCTTTGTCCTCATGCCAGATCACAGGTGACCTGTGTGAGCTCCTTCCCTCAGCACCCCCCTCCTCCCACCTCGGCCCGGTCCCAGGCCATCGGAGTAGCAGCAGGCTGGAGTCCTCTAGAGGGAGCCTGTCTGCATCTTTACTTTTAAAATGCGTCTCTTGTGGACCGCATGTAGTTGAGTCTTTATTTTTTAAATCCAGTCTGACAGTCTCTGCCGTTCAGTTTAGACTTTGAAAACATGTGAAGGTAGGTCAGAGTTTCCATAGGAACACAGGGTGGGGTACAGTGTTGTGCTTTCTCCTCCATAACAGTCTCAGAATAATAAAACTAATCCCAATACCATCGCTGTGAACAAATACGTGTTTTGCAGGTGTTCTGTTTTTTATAATCGCACTGTGTATTGTCTGAGCACGTAGCCCTTGTATACTGCACTCACTTTCCTTTACCCTCTTTTAGTCTTGGTTCTGTGCATCAGCGTATGTTTAAAACGGCCATCCTGCCCTGGCCGGTTTGGCTCAGCAGTTAGCGCGTCAGCCCACGGACCAAAGAGTCTTGGGTTCGATTCCGGTCAAGGGCACGTACCTCAGTTGTGGTTCGTCCCCGACCCTGGTCAGGGTCATGCGGGGGGCAGCCAGTCGATGTGTCCCTCTCGCGTTGATGTTTCTCTTTCTCTCCCTCTCTCTTCCTCCCACTCTATCTGAAGATAAATAGAAAAATATCCTTGGGTGAGGATTAAAAAATAAATAAAATAAATTTAAAAGATAAAAGGCCATCCTTACGTTGGTGTTTCTGTAGTCATCTCGGTTGTCTGCGGCCCGTTCTCTAGTCGATGACTCAGGAAGGGCTCGCTGGGATAGCAGTTCCTGAGTTCGTACGTGGTGACAGGTGTGCCTGTCTGCTGTATAAAACTTGATCCTAGCCCCCGTTTTCTCTGGCAGAGTATTGCTGTTGAAAAGTCGGATAATTAAATTTTCTTTTCCTAAAAAAATCACTTTCTCTTTTTGTCTCAGTGGCTAAAAGATTTTTTTCTTTCAAGTCCAATAATTTTATTAAACTATATCTTGGTGTTGGTTGTCTGGGTCAGTGTTCTCAGGCGGGGTTGGCTTTGGCTGGTACTGTCAGCTGGGGACGCTCACTTAGTCTTTCCAACATGATGGTCTGAGTGATGTTAGACCCCTTCCATGGCAGCCTAGGGACCCAGAGAGAATGTGCCCCATGACCTTGTCCTGGAAGTCAGCATCAGGGTCTTTAATTCTCCATTCATTGGAGCACTCCGGAGCTTGCCCTGATTCCGTGAGAGGTGACATACACCCCAACTTTTGATGAGAGGAATGACAAAGAATTTGTGGTCATGTTTTAAAAATCACCATGTGTTTTGGTCTTAATATTTGTCTGACATTAAATTTAATTAAGTCAGTGATCATGCAGTTTAGATTGCATTCACAGTTGATAATTGCTGAGTTGTTAAAATATAACTTTTGATATATTTTAGAAGTAAGGTGAATTAGAATCAAGAATAGTTATTGCCATTAGTAGCCTAAATATAGTAACAAATATGAAGATGGCTTTGTAAAATAGACACATTTTGACAGTTTACTGATGAAAATTACAAGTAAAACCTGAAATACTTCTCACTAAAAATCGGTGAAGAAATACAGGGTACTGGTATTGTCTTGTGTACTAAGATTTCTAACTATGTCCTGTTATTAGATTTGTATAAATTTGAGCCAACTGATAGTGCTTTGTTTTATTTTCATTGTATATGAATTAAAATGTTACATACATGTTAACATTATATCATATGATAAGCAAACCATTTTTGCCAGCATAGAACATTTAGTAATGTTTACAGATCTAGTCTCACCTTCTGATGAATGATTTTTAATTTTTTTAAAGATATTTTTTATTGATTACTAGAAAGAGCGGAAGGGAGAGGGAGAGAAACAGGAATGGGAGAGCAAAACATCAGTGGGCTGCCTCCTGTACGCCTCCCAGCAGGGATGGAGCCTGCAACCCGGGCATGTGCCCTGACAGGGAATCAAACCAGCAGCCTTTTGGTGCAAGGATGGCACTCATCCAACTGAGCCACATTGGCCAGGGCAGTAATTAAGGTTTTTAAAATAAATCATGAATGTGATTTCATTGAACTAGAAAGTACTGCATAATTTAAAAAAATACAATCTTTTTTTTTTTTTATCCTCACCCGAGGACATTTTTCTATTTTTTGTTCAGATAGAGTGGGAGGGAGGGAGAGGAAGAGAGAGAGAGAGAAACATCGACGTGAAAGGGACACATCGAGTGGCTGCCACCCGCACGACCAACCAGGGCCGGGGACAAACTGCAACCGAGGTTCGTGCCCTTAGCGGGAACCGAACCCGGGTCTCTCTGGACCACAGGCTGAGGCTCTAACCGCTGAGCCAAACTGGCCAGGGCTAAAAAATACAATCTTAATTTTAAAATGACTTGTATGTATTTTTCTTTATGGTATTCTGTTTTATTTTATTCATACCAAGAAAACTGTACTTGGGATTTTCCACACTTAGGATTCTACCAAGTGTCAATAAACGGCAAAGTGGGGTTACATAGCCACTAAAAACATGCTGTACATCTCTTCCCGTGTCTGCCCTTAGATCCCACCTGGTTTCCGCCAAAATGTTTCAAAATACAGCAAAAGACACTTTTGTGGGGTTTTTTAAATAATTTTTTTTCTTTATTGATTTTTTTTTAAGGAGAGAGGGAGGGAGAGGGAGAAAGAGATAGAAACATCAGTGAGAGAGAACATAGATTGGCCGCCTCCTGCATGCCCCTCACGCCCTGACCAGGAATCAAACTGGCGACCTCTTGGCGCATGGGTCTCAATGCTCAGCCACTGCGCCACACCATCCGGGCTGCAAAAGACACTGTTTTATAATGTTCATATTACACCACTCTGGTTTGATTGCATTCTCTTAGCTCTTTTTCTTCAGATTTTTATTAGCTTTTACATATTAAAAATAGTGGTGTTTTTACATGTGAGTGCACACATATATATGCACATCTGTATCTGTCTATATGTATGACGTGTATGCAACATTTAAAGATTGGTCATGTCCTGGTGGCAAGTCGAGGGAAAGAGAAAGTACTGTTTTCAAAATGGCTCGAAGTGGGTCTTCAGGAAGCTCTTGTCGTTAATTTGATCCTAGGGAGTAAAGAGTCTTGACATTCAACTATTTTTAATTTTTATTTACAGGTAAGCTTTTGGGTTGTTAGAGAGATTCTTCATGCTCAAACATTAAAAATTAGAGCAGAAGTTTTGAGCCACTATATTAAAACTGCTAAGGTAAGAAAAACTTGTGTTTCTGTTTTTGAGTTGAACCACTTAGCAATATTTGTGAATATTTGCCTGTTGTACTTGATTTACTGTTTATTGATGCTGGGAAGTAAGACCTATTGATTCATATCAATCAGTTTTTTAAACTGGATGCTTGTTTTTTCTGCCTTTTCCTTTGTTTTTCTGTCTTCCTCCCTTTTAATATCTTTTCTCCCTCCCTTGGAGTAGCTTAGTAATATGATTTGACTGCATAAGTACACAGAGGTGTGATCATGGTGAAGTCCTGTATTTAAATATCAGACTATTCTGCAGGTCACTGAGAAAGCCTTATAGAATTAATTGGGGGAATACATATCAGCTATTTGCTTTTGAAATAGATCACTCTGCCAACCATCTGGGGAATGATAAGACTTTACTTTTTAAAGAAGAATATAAATGAGAATGTTAACCAAATATATTAATTGTGTAAGTTATAAATGCAGCAAGAAAAATGGAACATGGACTTAAAGGACAGGCAGAATTTAGAGAGGAGGGTACAACAGGATATTTCATGAAAAGATACCAAGATTTTATTAGAACTTGTGCTCTGGCCAGCCTGGCTCAGAGGTTACAGCATGGCCCGCAGACCAGAGAGACCCGGGTTCAGTTCCTGCTAAGGGCACCTACCTCGGTTGCAGTTTGTCCCCTCTGGGTGGCAGCCAGTCGATGTGTTACATCAATGTTTCTCACTTTCTCTTCCCCCCTCTCTCCCTCCTGCTCTATCTGAAGATAAATGCAAAAATGTGCTCAGGTGAGGATTAAAAAAAAAAAACTTGTGACAACTCCATCCCCAGAACCTGTGGCTCAGTTGGCTGGAGCGTCATCCCATTCACCTAAAGGTGGCAGATTCGATCCCCAGTTGGGGCTCATGCAAGAGACAACCAATCAATGTTTCTCTCTCTCTCTCTCTTTCTCTCCTCTGTCTCCCTCCCTTCTTTCTCCCCACCTTCCTCTCTCTAAAAAAAACAACAATAAAACTTGTAACAACTCCAAATTTATGAGAAGTTCGCTAAAAAGTGTTGTAGCTACATTCTTCATTATTCTTGTAATAAGTATATAACTTAGCTCACCTGTGAATGAGGACAGACAGAATAAAATGAGGATACCATTTTGACAATGGTAAGTATTGTAATTACTGTAAAATTACAATTATTTTAAGTCTTATTTTCTTTGAGCACACAGAGCAACTGTTTTCTAAACATTCTGTGGCACTAGGCGGCAGAACTTGCCTTCTAAAACTTTATATTCTGCAGCAATGTCATAACACTTTTTAAAACATTCTTTGAGGTATGTTAGATAAATATTGGGTTTTAGCTTACAGAAATTCTTGAGTTTTCTCCATAGATTATGAATTTGCATTTTTGTTTTCTGGTATTTGTGTTAATTTTTTATGTGCTTGTATACTCCACTCAACACCACCAAATTTTGGCCATCAAATCTGCCATTATCCTCTCATCCATTAGGCATTTAATTTCAGTTCAGACTCTTTGACTTTATGTTCGACAGTGCTTGCTTTTATCCCAAGCCCTAAATTCATTTCTTGTCTCATCACTGTCTCTTCAACCCTGTTCTACCTCCCTGCCTTCTACGTTTGGTTCGGTATGAAGCTGGCAGGTCTTTCTCTTCTTTCAGTAGATTGTATCAGTTTGGTTCTCTGGAGACAGAAAATACACCCACACCCACACCCACTACCCCCCGCCCCCCATGTATAAGTTGAGTTAAAGAATTGGCTCATGGGATTGGAGGTTAGGGGCTGGCAAGTCTGATACCTGTGGGGCAGGCAGACAGCCTCAGCCTGAACAGGGGTTGAGGCTGCAGCCTGGAGGCAGACTTTCTTCTCTAGGAAACATTAGTTTCTACCCTTAAGGTGTTTCAGCTGACTCACTACAGCCTACCTGATTATAGAGTGTAATCTTTTAATTAAAATGAACTGATTGTAGATGTCACCACATCTACAAAATATTTTCACAGCAACACCTAGGTTCTGTTTACTTAAACAACTGGGTACTTACTATAGCCTAGCCAAACTGGCACATAAAACTAATTATCATTAGACACAAAAGAGTACTTATAAAATATATTTAACCTATCAAAAGAATGATAAAGTGGATCCCCTGTCCCCACTGCACACTGTGAGTACACCCTGTGTCCCTTCATGTGTGGTCCCTAACCTCCCACTGTAAAGGAGCCACTTCCCTAAAATTTGTTTGCTCCTCTTTTATAGTTTTGCTATATATGTGTGTGTCCCTGAATAATATATTGTATATGTTTTTGAATTTTGTTTAAAGTGAATTATTGCATAATACTTTATAATTCTTTCATGACCTTTTTTTTTTTTTATCCTCATTCGAGGACAATTTTTTCCTTTTTTTTTTTGGTACAGACAGTGTGGGAGGGAGAGAGAGGAAGAGAGAGAGAGGGAAACATCGATGTGAAAGAGACACATCGAGTGGCTGCCACCCGCACGACCAACCAGGGCCGGGGACAAACTGTAACCGAGGTACGTGCCCTTAGCGGGAACCGAACCCGGGTCTCTCCGGACCGCAGGCGGATGCTCTAACCGCTGAGCCAAACCGGCCAGGGCTCATGACCTTTTTTTATTCAACATTGTTACTGAATGGTTTTTTTTAGTGCATCTTTGTTGTATTCTGTTGTTTGCACATACCAGAAATTGTTAAGTGTATTCTAGCTTGGATAGTTTTTAGATTATTCCTGTTGTAAACACTGCCTCTATAAAGCATACTTGTGTGAGTCACTTGGTGCTTATGTGATGGTGAAGCCCTAGAAATATAGAGAGAACAGTCAAATTACCCTTAAAGAAATAACAGTTAGTTCAGTAGCTTTCATTGAATCTGATGAGACTAAACATTTTTTTCTATTTTGGCCATTTAGGTTTTCTTTCCTGAAATTTCTGTTCAAGATCTTTGAACAATTTTCTAGTATAGTGTTGGTCTTTTGTTGATTTTTATAGGAATTTTTTTAATACAACTCTCATTTCTAGTTCTCTATTATATATTTTGCATACATCTTCCTATTTGTGGCTTGTCCTATCATTACTCTTTTCATGTTCTCTTTTTTTTTCTGTTTTTTTTTAAATCCTCATTCAATGATATTTTTCCATTTATCTTCAGATAGAGTGGGAGGGAGGGAGAGAGAGAGAAAAAGAGGAGAGGGAGAGAAAGAAAGAAAGAGAGGAACATCGATGTGAGTGAGACACATCAACTGCCTGCCTCCTGCATGACCCCGACCAGGGCTGGGGACTGAACCATAACCAAGGGACGTGTCCCTGGCCAGAATCAAACCCAAGACTTTCTGGTCCGCGGGCCGATGCTGCAACCCTTGAGCCACACAGGCCAGGGCTCATGTTATCTTTTGATATAGATGTTCTTAGCTTGGTAATAAAACTTATTAATCTTTAATTAATTTTATTGACTTATTTAAGGATATCTCATTTAAGAAAGCTTACCCTAACCTCTGAGAATATCAAAATGTTTTTATTTTATTTTAGCCTTTAAAAGTTTCATAGCTTTGATTTTACTTGAGTATTTCATCTATCTGGAGTAAATTTAATATTCAGTATGTATGAATGATGAATTCCAGTTCATAATTTTCCATGAATAATCATTCTGGCAGCATTCTTAAAAATTCTTCTTTCTTAATGCTCTCTTTTTTTTTTTTTTTTTTTGTCTGGCAGCATCTTTAGGTCACACTTGTTCTTGAAAAATGCTATTTTAGACTTAAATGGATTTTTGTTTTTTAATTTATTCTGCTTGGGATTGAGTTTCTGGCCTTAGGAACCTAGTGCCTTTTAGTAATTTGGGAAAATAATCTGCCATTATCTCTCAAAGATAGTTTCTACCCTGTCGTTTTTTATTATCTCCTAACTTAGATAAATGTTGGCCTTTTTGCTGTATCTTTCATGTCTCTTAACTTAGTTTGTTTTTAAAAATCCTTTGGCTTTTATGTTGCCTTCTGGATAGTGTCCTCACATTTAATCTTCATTTTCAGTGAGGGCCCTGCCTGGTGGTGTTCTCCATTTGTGAGTTCCTATTTTCTTGTTTTTTCATTTTCCTTTTTTTTTTATCCTCACCTGAGGACTTTTTTTTTTTTTTTTTTGCGCATTTATCTTCAGATAGAGCTGGAGGGAGAGAGGGAGGAAGAGAGAGAGAGAAACATCGATGTGAGAGAGACATTGAGTGGTCACCACCCACACAACCCCAACTGGGGCTGGGCGACAAACTGCAACTGAGGTGCGTGCCCTTGGCGGGAACCAAACCTGGGCCTCTCTGGTCCGCAGTCCGACACTCTAACCGCTGAGCCGAACCTGCCGGGGCTCATTTTCCTTTTTTTAATGAGTTCATAGTAACTTTATGGGAATTCTCGGAGACCTGAGTTAAGGTGGTATTTCCTCGTCTGAGTTCTCTGGAGACGCATCCCCTTCCCTTTCCTTCGTTCTCATGTTTGGAACAGGCTTTTCGCCTTGGTGTCTCTTGATATAGTGGGTTAGGACAGTTTCAGTGATTGACTTGGATAGGGCCGTTGGGATGTAAGCATCTCACAGTATGAAGAAGTGTGGGAAATAGCAATAAATGTCAAGTAGATGTCTTGGCACACTGATGGAACCTACTGTTAGGTACAAGTTTTCTGCAAGAAGGCTACAAAAGCAAGGTCTGGTTCTGGGAAGCAGGTGGGTGTCCGAGCATGCGCGAGGAACACTGGATCTGGGGGTTTAGGCAGGAGGAAGCAGGAAAGTGAGGAGGACTGTAGAGCAGGTTTGAACCCTAGTCCTGAAATAGTAGGGGTATTGAGTAGGAAACCAGATCAGGATCTTGGGCGCACACCCTTTTCTTGAAACTTGGGTCTTAAGACAGATTAGTAATACTTTAGAATAAGGAAGGAGACTGCTTGCTGAATACCAGGGTGCATGATCATACCAGACGAACTTGACATGAGCCATGTCTTTGGTTTTCTTATCATATTACCCAACTAGCGGTAGATTGCTTCCTCGAGCTTCGGGGCAATGCCAGGTTAGAACGTGGAATTCCTGCTGTGGCCAAAAGCAGCTTACTGTGAAATAGTGGGTACTCTAAAGACACCTCTCAACAATGAGGGTGGAAAGTACTGGCCACTACCTGTTGCCTAGATTGTACTTGTTAATCTAAGACTTTTTGCATCCATGCCCTTTATTTTTCACATCTTCTCCTTTTCTTCAATCGACAGAAACTGTACGAGCTGAATAACCTCCACGCTCTCATGGCGGTGGTTTCTGGCCTGCAGAGCGCCCCAATTTTCAGGTTGACGAAAACGTGGGCGGTAAGTAATCTTCAAGTTAATGAAAGCTTAGACTCCCGTTGGAAGTAAAGATGTATTAGTTTTTTGGTTTTGTATTTGTAGTGCTCAGTAAGGTTAATATGATAATTCTGTTCTTTGAAACCTACGTTTTTCTCTGTCAAGTGTTTCACGAGGCTTGTTGGGTAATTTTTGGGTAAATTACAGCGTGGTGCTTGGTTTCTGCTCTTCAGGAAATCATTTTTGCAGAACCTCTTCAAGCATCGAGACAATACAGCCTTTCAGTCTACTGAAGGGAAAGTGTGGATACAGAAAATTAACATTAATCATGTGAAGATGACGCTTTTGGAAAGTTTGAGGAAAATCTAAACATTTAAGTTTCAAAAAGTATACTGACTTAGATTTCCATTATTATTATTATTATTTTTTATCTTTACCTGAGGACATTTCTGCATTCATCTTCAGATAGAGCAGGAGAGAGGGAGGGAGGAGGAGATAGAGAGAAACATCGATGTGAGAGAGACACATCGACTGGTTGCCACCCACACGACCCCAACTGGGGCCGGGGACAAACTACAACTGCCCCTAGCGGGAACCGAACCCGGGCCTCTCTGGTCCATGGGCTGACACACTAACCGCTGAGCCAAACCAGCCAGGGCAATTTCCATTATTTTTTAGCTACTCCATTTTTGTTTTTTTTTCCTTAAGAGTAATTTGAGAGCGTGCTGTTACAGTGTTGCCGCACATTCTAATACAATCGTTGTATTTGGTTCTATTACCTGAACAAGGTCAGGATGTGAATTTTGACTTCTGCAAATTTGTGTATTTCATCTTTGAGTGACATGATACTGGCCTCAAGCTTTCTGGGTATTTTTTGTTTAGATTTGTGTAAGTAAAATTATACATTTAATTAAATCTATTTATATTTAACACTGTTCTTTAATATTAAAGAGGATGGATTTTGTTTATTACATTGTAAACAGAGGATTAGTGTATTCTTAAAATCCTGGACTATAAAAAACTTCTTTTTTTAATTACTAAAATCTAACTTTTTAATTAGCCTAGTGTGCTTTCACATTTCCTAGTGTCTGCAGAGATGGATGTTTCTCATGAAAACCACGGTAGATGTCTATATTGGAAAATAATCAGTATAAAAGAACTTACACTCCTCTTTATATTTTACTTGCATTTTGGAAACACCTGGGTGAAGGTTTTCCTACTTTAAAATTTATTTTTAATAATGATGGCCTTACTCTCTTTTCTTAATTTAAATTTCATGGAGGAATGGAAATGATTATAAATATGCAGTTATGAATTCCATCTTTGAAGTTTCAGGGAAAAGAATTATGCTCTGATTTATATTGTGGTTTACAAATGAGCTACATTTCCCTCAAGTTAATTTCTGTTTTCCTTGAAGATATTTTTATTGACTTCTTCATGTATTAGCGTGGAAAAGTTATTTTAAATTTAGTAACAGCTCCATTATTAATCCAAATAAAATTTTTAATGTTTATATTAAATTTTAAAATATTCCATATTGTGCCAGGCACTATGTAATAGCTTGACATACAACGTGAGGGATCTAAATAGCCCCATTCTTTTATAGCTAACATTCTACTGGGAAAAGATAAACTGTAAATAAATAACATATATCATAAATAGTGATGAAGGCTCTGAAGAAAAATGAAGCAGAGGAAATGGGATAGAAGGAAAGCAGGAAAGTATTTCATGGAACATGTTGTAAGAAAGTCTCAGATGAATGGCGGTTGGGTGAGGACCTGGAGGACTGGAGAGAGCCCTTCACGTGGCCATCTGGGAGAAGAGGATTCCAAGCAGAGGTAGTGGCCAGTGCAAAGGCCCTGATATGTTCAGAGAATGGCAGGATGGTCAGTGTTGACAGTGGAATAAGCTAGGGAGTGGTTGATGAAAGAAAAGATGGATAGGTTTTCCCACATTAAAGTAAGACTTTTTTTCATCAAAAGATAAGCATAGCCCTGGCCGGTTTGGCTCAGCGGTTGGAGCGTTGGTCTGTGGTACAGAGAGACACGGGTTCGGTTCCCACTAAGGACACATACCTCGGTTGCAGTTTGTCCCCAGCCCTGGTTGGTCCTGTGGATGGCAGCCACTCGATGTGTCCCTTCACAACGATGTTTCTCTCTCTCTTCCTCTCTCTCCCTCCTGCTCTATTTGAACAAAAAATGGAAACATGTCCTCGGTTGAGGATTAAAAAAAAAAAGATAGTGCCCTGGCCGGTTTGGCTTAGCGGTTGGAGCGTCGGCCTGCGGTCCGGAGAGACCCGGGTTCGGTTCCCGCTAAGGGCATGTACCTCGGTTGCAGTTTGTCCCCGGCCCTGGTTGGTCGTGCGGGTGGCAGCCACTCGATGTGTCCCTTCACATCGATGTTTCTCTCTCTCTCTCTTCCTCTCTCTCCCTCCAGCTCTATCTGAACAAAAAATGGAAAAATATCCTCAGGTGAAGATAAAAAAATAAAAAATAAAAAAAAAGATAGCATAAAGAAAATTGAAGCGAAGCCCTGAAGTTGGGGAAGATATGTGTGCAGTTGTAACTGGTTAAAAATATATATCCAGAATATATAAAGAACTCTTCAAAGAAAAAAAGAGAAGAAAAATACAGAAGTGGGCACCGTGGCGGTCCTTCCTAGAAGAGGAGGTCCGCGTGCCAGCCGTGCAGCGGGGGAGCCGCAGCCACACAGTACGTGGCGGAGCTTCCGTGTCTGAAGTGCGTGAGCGAACAGCTGCTGTTCTCTGGTCAGAAAGCAAACAACATTTAAGAGAATGAGAAACACAAAATTCGGGATAGCGGTCACTCCTTAAGATAGTCGAGGAGCCCTGGCCAGTTTGGCTCAGCGATTGGAGTATCGGCCTGTGGTCCAGAGAGACCCGGGTTCGGTTCCCACTAAGGGCGTGTACCTCGGTTGCAGTTTGTCCCCGGCCCTGGTTGGTCGTGCGGGTGGCAGCCACTCGCTGTGTCCCTTTCACATCGATGTTTCTCTCTCTCCCTCCTGCTCTATCTGAACAAAAAATAATCAAATGTCCTCGGGTGAGGATAAAAAAAGATAGTTGAGGAAATTGGATGTGGAAGGAGTGTAGATATGTGTTACTGGTGTGCAGTTCTTGGGAGGGTAGATGCATATGTATTTGTTATAAAATGTAGAAACAAATTAAATTAAGAAGAAAGTCACATCAGGGACTACGGATAACTGTCATAAACAAAGGATTATAATTAGTGTGCATCAGAGGTCCAAGATAAGTTAATGATTTATTTCTGCAAGTGCACACTTTTATGCAAATTGTATGGGGTTACCAGTCAAGGTGATGAGGGGTGATCTGGGAATCTTGTATTCCTTGTGGTGATTGACATGAGCAGAGATTCATCCAGATGGTCCCAAAGCAGATTGTTTTGTTAGGGAGGAGTAGTGACGTAGGCGTTCCCACAGTCTCACACCAGTACCCACGGCTGCCATGCTCTTGACCAGAAGCAAGGTGTGGCGCCTGGAGCATGCCGAGTTAGCATCTTGTGAAGTGCTTTGTTTTCCCCTTTTTCTTGGAAGGAGGAATATAGTGAAGTGACATTGTAGGGGTCACATTAGGAACATCAGAAAACTATTGAAAGGAAGGAAAAGAAAATCAGGACATCTTAGTTATTACGGCTGTGGCACATGTGCTGGGATGAGTTTCTGAGCTCACCAGGAAACTCCTGTTTTAACATCTGCTCATTCTTTCATCCGTATACTTCCTCTGTATAGTCTTCTGGAAACCGAGTACCCCACCCCACGTCAAATCATTTTAATCTGGTTATTGACTTATGAAAGTTGCAAATAGGTTATTTTTATACATATTTAGACCAGATAGTTTTGTTTCAAATGTGGCAAGGTCATTTATGAGTTACAAGTAATTTGTTTCTATTGATACTGTATCAAAGCTTTTGTATGACTGACTTAGGGAAAAAAGGATAGGTTATTGTCCCTGTTGTGTCCTCACTACTTACGTACCCAAAGGGATGGGTGGACTTTACAGGTAGTAGATTTGCACCTAATCTTGAAAATGCTAATCAGGTGTGTTGAAGCTGGGCCAGGGAAATGATTGTGAAACCTCTGTTTGAGATCATGGAATATCTAGCTAAATATAAAGCAGACTCTTTGAAATCTTGTGTTTTAAAGAGGAGGGACACCGGTCAGGCATTTTTTTCAGATAGAGAGTATCTGAAGATAATCTGCATCTTGGAGCCTATGAAAAAATAGATTCCAACTTCAATCCCAACTCTGTACTTACAGTACTACAAAGAGGAGTGTATTAGGTGTCAGAATATTCTTTATCTCCAGCACCAGCTTAAGACCCTGAAAACCAGGAACCAACGCTTTGTGAGTGGATGACAGAGTATTAGTATGTTCTGGTCCTTGCTAACCCTGTGATCATAATATGCAGACATTTCTGTTAACCTCATTGGAGAATTAGGTGAGAATTTAATTGGTGGAAGTGTTTTGCATGCTAAAAAGTAACGCTAATATTTTATGATATAAATAAAGTGAGCCCTGGCCGCTTTGGCTCAGTGGTTAGAGCATCGGCCTGCGGTCCAGAGAGACCCGGGTTTGGTTCCCGCTAAGGGCACGTACCTCGGTTGCAGTTTGTTCCTGGCCCTGGTTGGGTCGTGTGAGTGGCGACCACTCGATGTGTCCCTTTCATGTCGATGTTTCTCTCTCTCTCCCTCCCTCCCTCATACTATCTGAACAAAAAATAAATAAAATAAAATAAAGTGAAATACTTTTACAGCATAATGAAATAATAACTTCAGATGTTAGGAAAAAGATGTTTGTTTTGTCCAGAGTCTTTGGAATACTTAAAAAATATTTTCTGAACCTTTTAGTTAATATTATTTAAGTGACTGACCTTGCTTTTCCTTTATTTTCCTTGATTATCTCCATGTTTTTCAAAGGGCACTCACAAGAGATGTACCCTCAAGCCTCTGAAAACAGTTTCAGTTGATTATTCAACTGTGTGTGATTCAGCACTGGTCAGAGGCATCAAAGAAAATGTCAGAAATCTAAAAATGTAAATCACAGTTAACAAGTATTGCAGCCATGGTTAACTTTAGCACAAAAAAAAAAATGCCTAACCATTTAAAATAGTAAAGATAAGAAATGTATTATAATTTACTAAGTAACTTAATGATTTTATGTACATACAAGGTATTGTATTTTATAGTTAATAAATACATTTGGGTTTATTATTTTAATAGACATGTCTGATTTATCATTTATATATTATCAAAATATAATCAAAGTATAACTGAAATTAAATTCAAATTTACAGTAAATACAACACAATTTCAAGCTTTTGCTATAATAAAATGGGATTTGGAAATAACTTAGGTTTTTCTGTTTGTTTTTTAGTTATTAAGTCGAAAAGACAAAACTACCTTTGAAAAATTAGAATATGTAATGAGTAAAGAAGATAACTACAAAAGACTCAGAGACTATATAAGTAGTTTAAAGATGACACCCTGCATTCCCTATTTAGGTGAGTTGATGTCACTGTTTGTTCATTATACCTGGTTGTTGTTCTGCTTAATCAGTAATTTATATAAAATTCAAGATAGTTTAAAAGTGTGTATAACCTTTAAAGAAATTGCTGGAATTATTAAACTGAAAAAATTGACTAGAGGAATATGTTACCTTACTAGCTGGAATGTATTTTTATATTAAATTAGCCTTTGCCCGTAAGGTTTTTTCATAGACTATCATTTTTTCTTAAAGATGGACCATATGGTAAAATGATACATTTTAGTTATTTTGGTAATGCTTTTAAAGAATAAAACAGTAGTTTGCAATAGACTTGAATGCTGTAAAAAAAAAAAATTTTAACATTAAAGAAATTGATCAAGAGATTTGACATTTTTAAAACATCATGAGGTCATATTTTATATAGTTGGCAGATAATTTAAGGTGAATTTTGAAAAGTAGGCTCACTGAATGTTGGTGTTATTATTTTCCTGGATAAAATGAGTTGTTTGGCTGTGGAAATTTAGCTTAGTACTAAGACAAATCTGTATTTTATATATCACTAGACTGAAGATTTTATCTCTTTACTGTATATTTTACAGCTGTTTATAAATTCTAAGAAATATTTAGGCAATAACATTATAAGGTTATTTTTAAAAAATATGAATAATGTTTTGTTAGGTGTTTGAATGAAAAGAAGTCCCAAACTCCCTTTTAAAAAGTGTGTGTAGCCTGGCCGGTGTGGCTCAGTGGACTGAGAAGCCCCAATTCGATTCCGGGTCAGGGCACGGTCCCTGGGCTGTGGGCTTGATCCCCAGTGGGGGGCGTGCAGGAGGCGGCCATCGACGCTTCTCTCTCACGTGGATGTTTCTATCTCTCCCTCTCCCTTCCTCTCTCTCTAAAAAAATCAATTTAAAAAAAATTTAAATGTGTGTGTAAATTTAACTACAAAAAATACTCTATAGAATATACGTGTAGCATAAATTAAGTTGGTTTGATCCTGTATAAAGTAATCAAGTGATAAACATGTATTCCTTTCTAATATCCCTCTTCCTCCCATCTCCATTCTGTCTTTTATGTAACTGCTCATACCAGCTTCTCTGAGCGCTATTTTTTAAAGTAATTGAAAACCTGTTACTGATGCCACAGTGTCATCTCTGACATCTTTACAGTACAGTGACTTAGAAGGCAGTGGAGCCTTAAGCCTGTGTGGCTCAGTGGATATGTGCTCATTCAGCCTCCACAGGGCATCAGTGCTGGTTTGTCAGGGAAGAACTGAGCTCATTCAAACATTGTGGGTCCTCCCAGGATTCCAGTGGGATCAAGAGTGTTGTGCACCCTGTGTCGAAGGCAGAACATGCCTAAACACAGTGTAGGTGATGCCACTCCATGCCAGAGCGTTGTGTCCTGTTTGTCTGGTAAACAGCGCAGGGCCGTGGTGGGCAGGACCGCACCGGGGAGGCTCTGCCTGTGTCCGCTTTACACTATAGCCTGGGCTGTGCCGGGTCTTGAAAATGGAACTGGGGGGAGAGGAGGAATAGAGCATTTAAAAATATCATCGATATCTTAAAACCTTTAAAGAACATAAATGTTTTATAGCGTAATCATTAGACTGAAATCAGCGACTCTCCATTCCAAATGGCACCACCACTTCACTTTTCAGGGCATTGAATTGTCTTCTTTGAGCCCCGTTCTCTGTCCCTGGAAATACACACAGGACCAGAATCATGTTCTTTTTAAGGCTGGATGGGACCACCGTGTGATCTTGTCTAATTCACTTACTTTACATTTGAGAAAACCAGGGTCCGGAAGGGGGAAGACCTGGCGCTCGTAGTTCTGAAACGTCGTCACGGACAGACCCCAGTCTGGAGTCCCGGGCTGCATCTTCCCAGTATACCTGCTGAGCTCTTGTTCCAAAACTTGTGTTTCTATGATGGTTTTTTCTTCATTGAAATGTTTTTCTCAAATTCCATCATTTGTATCTTTTAGAACAGGAAATCAGAATTATTTTCTATTGAAAAAGAAAAACATAATTTAGATCTTTGTGATGTGGTATCTAGTTCAGAGGTCTTTGTTTTATATTTTTCACAATGGAGACTTCAGGACAGGATTTGAAGCTGTGTGTGTGTGTGTGTGTGTGTGTGTGTGTGTGTTTGCACGCATACGTGCACAAGTGCGCACAGAGAGAGAGAGGCATGGTTGGAGTTTAGTGGAATCTGGAAAGGTCTTTCGTAAAGAATATACCTGCTTTCTCCCAGCCTGGTCCCTGAAACAGACACTGTGACTCTTTCTGTGGGTTAAAGCAAGGGCGACAAATGTTGAGGTGTAGAAGTTAATTTGGAGAAAACATTAAAACCCTTTCTTTCCTATATCTTCAGTTTGGTCTCTATTGACTCCTCCTCTCCAGTTTTCTTTAGTCTTGTATGTTCTCATGGCCCAGAATCTTCCCTGTCACCATCACCATGAGATTCTTCTGCATTTCATACCTAAGCTGGTAAAAAAGGACCCTATTCCTCCTTGCTCCTTTTTCTTGCTTTCTTTTGCTCAGCATGCTGGTATCTGTCTCCCTCGTTACTTGTAGGAATTTTCCCAATAAGGTCACCACTGACTTCCTAGTTGAAACATTTAGTAAGTATTCCTCAAGCCTCATCTTAAATTTGTGAGGTTAATATAGTTATTTTTGCTTCTTAAAATTCTCTGGTAGCGCCAGTCTCTGCTGGTTTGCTTTCTATATTCTGGCCTTTGCTTTTTTGGCTTCTCTTTCTCTGCCTTTGTCTTAAATCTGTTCTTCTAGAGGTCCCAGTCCACATGTTTTCTTATTTTACACTCATCTGGAGTGATCTCATTCATACTTTTTCCACAGTCACCCGGTGACTCCCAGATCTAGACTAGACCTGTATGTCCAGCTGTCTTTGCAATTCCTGGGGCCTGGTGACATCGTAGGTACTCAGACACTGGTTGTGTGAGATATCTATAGGTAACTCTAAATTCAGCATTTCCAGAAGTAAATTCACCATCTTTCCCCTTCCTCCACACATGATCCCCATCTGATCTCCTAGCTTACTCTACCAGTGATCACAGTGTAGCACCTGGGGGTCGTTGGCTTTGTCCTCCTTGTCCGCTCCTCCTCTTCTCTCTTGAAATGAGATGCATCGTTCTGAGGGTTACCCGAATTTAGAAACCAAATGGGGAAATGGCAAATGACTTAAGTTAAATTAGAGAACATATGCTTTAGTATCTACATAATTTTACATATTGGTAGTTTTCATACAATTATTTATCCCTTTACTAGTTTGTGAAGCATCTGAGACTGATGTGATTGTGCAACATTTGGTGGAAATTATTTGGTAGACTTGTGAAAGGAAAGTTAAACATTTGTCAAAGGAAAGTGAAACATTTGTCATAAATTATTGTGACTCCGTTTTGCTTGTTCCCAGCACGAAAACCATCTTTTAAATGTAGTGCCGGTTTTGTTTTATTTTATAGTAAATCTTGAAATTAAATGTGCTCCATCTATCAAAACACGCATGCTTTTTTAAAGAAAATATGAAGCATTTTCAACTCACACAACTGTGACTGCTTGCTTATTTATATCATAGACAGCTGGATCTTTTTCACTCCCGATCTCGGGCACTAAAGTGTTCTGAAGAATGAAGATTGAACAATAGTTTATATCCTGGATATACTTACTTTGTTCATATTTTGTTCTAATTTAAAATGAATTAGTACCATGGTTTTTTAAATTTAACTTGTCTTGATTTTAGAATCCTTTACCCCTCATAAGAAACTAGGCCTTCTACAATTGCCAACAATGTCAGCACTTACAAGATGCTGTATGTTTGATAGGGCAGAACTTGCCCTGAAGACATTTGAAAGATAACACACATTATGCAAATTGGTAGCTTCTATTTCACTGTTTCTCTCCAAGTTCATAATGCTACCTTTATCCCTTCTATCTGCAAAGGTTTCTGTGGAAAGAATGTGGCAGCCAGCGGAACCTGGTGCCCGCAGAGAAGGGAAGGGCTCATGAGATGTTCTTAACGTGGGAGAGGCGACCCAAACTAATGATGCTTCCCCCCAGAATTACGATCAAAACCAACCATTCCTTGTGAAGTTTATGGAAGGAGGTGAGGGCTTATATACTGGCAAAGCTCTTTATTTTGATACTGCCAGATTTATCTGTAGTTCGGTGTGGGTTAAATTTTAAGAAGTAGAAAATGTTTTCTTGGCTTTTAATTCATCGTCCCTTGAAAAGTTGTCACTTCTGTTGGTTTTTATTCAAGGTAAAAATTAGCCTGGACAGACAATACAGTAAATAACTCCTAGAATAAGGATACAGTTTTTCTGGAGAGGAATAGTTTGGCAAATCTCAAGGAAAAAATTGTTTTCTATGAGAATTATTGCTTCAAATCTGAAAATCATTAACAGCACTCATTTGTTCTTGTCATTGGAGAACAATCTTAAGGGGCTTATTGAAGAATTTGGCACGGGAAGTTTTGCGTTGCTGGAGAGAAAGAAGAGCAGAGCATTGTGCAAAAATAATTTAGTTGTATGAAACACGATATTCTTTCATGTGCACTTTCTAGCTTCATTTCTACTTTATTTAGATAATTTTGGGAACATGCAGTAGCTCAAACAGCTTACGTTTTCTGGGAAAGAAAGCATACAGGGTAGGGCAAAAGTAGGTTTACAGTTCACATGGAAAATAGTACAATAATTAATAAATAATAATACAAGAATGAACTGTGTTTTGTGTACTGACAACTGTAAACCTACTTTTGCCCCACCCTGTTTTTCTAAAGCCCTGGTGATAAGTAAATTGTTGTAGTTCTGTAAATGGCTTTCTATTAAGGAGAAGCAGAGTTCTTACAAACTCTGTCCTTCTCTAGAACACGAATGCCTTGTTTTGGTGTATTAGGTAGGACTCCTCGCTCTTGTAGGGAGAGCTCCCCTTTCCACACACTTAAGAAAAAGTGTTTGTAGAGTAACCTTCTGTAATACAGTGCCCTCTCCATCCCC